CCGAGGGGTGAGAGAGGTATCCCATTAATGTCAGAGAGTGCCAAGGAGAGCTAGAGGGCAACAACAGCCCCCCCCCCGCCGCACGGAAGATTTGTCAAAGACAAGTAGCTCCTTATGAAATAATATGCGTCCGACTGTGAGGCTTGTCATTTGGCAGATCTGCTGTCTACATGGCGCGCGGCAGGAAGCTGACATTCACACCATGGAGGAGTGTGATCAGTCTCACCCAGCAGATGAAAAGTGGTTTATATAGAAACTGAGAGGCAGCATCATATGGTTGCACCTTGTGACAGAATATGGTGAGAAGTGAGCCACATTAAACCCAACAAATCTCAGCACTTCCCCTTTTGATATTTAAACGTCTTGTTTGAGATATTTCTCGTATATATTACGTCTGAGTCAAGGCGGAGTAAATCAGACTTCTTATCATAGCGTGGAAGTTGGAATCAACAGTTGTCTATTGAACTTGTTATTGCCTTTTTAAACCCCCAAGAAGTCGGTTCAAAAGCAAACTTGAGAGCACACGCTGACTCATGTCCTCCCCGTCTCCTTGATGAGAGTGGAGGATCATTAAGTTGCTAACAACGGGAGGTGAAAGACAAGAGTGGCTGAACACACCATCGTCTCCTCCACAGCCGCCGCAAAGCTCTCCGGTGTGATTTGGATTATGAAGGCGTAAAGCTGGGCTCACATCACTGAACATTACCGAGTACATTGAGAGCATTGTTATTGATGAACAGATGTGGTGTGCAGGCAGCAGAGATATTCCTCTCTCCTCAGAGGCTTCATTCTGAGTCCCGTCGCTTCAGGTGTTTCCGGGCCGACTGTTGAAGTTTCTATTGAAATAAAAAGATAACATTTACCACAGATATTGGTGTGAGGATGCAGGGGGCAGTGTTATCTCGCTGATTCCTCTCCTCGGTCCTGCAGCAGCACCTTAAAGCCTGCCTGGGATCAGCGTTGCGTTTAATGTCTGCAGTGTTTCAGAGTCGTGACTGTCCCTCAGAAGCTGAAAGGTCACTCTGATTCAATCTGTGATTTGCTGTCGCCGTTACTTCTGTTGTGTCGTATTTATAACGTGAAATCTTCCCCCCCAGTGAAGACGGAAACATGTTACGTTTTAAAACCAAAGACTGCAGCTATAATTAATGAAAGCAGGATCATGATTTTCTGCAAAACACTTATGATTAATAGGTTGTTTCACTTGTAATAAAAATGCTAAATGTTATTCATAGAGCGCTTTAATGGTGCTTATTCAAATTCATAAATAAATTATAAACCTCAACACACCTACATATAAAAATACACTAAATTAATTATGCATCATTTCACTGAGCCCAAGATTACTGCCTCAAAAGACTCATGGTGTGCCAAAATAATACATTTTCAGAGACCAAAGAAAAGCCATACATGTGTGGAAATGGCAAACTATCAAATCTAGCTTTTTTTGTTATGCCTCAAAAACGATACATGTTATTGAAGTTGCCGTACATTTTCAGAATAAATTGTTGATTCGTTCGTGCTCATTTCAATATACGCTACAAAGGTCCACGTATTTAGTGCACGTCTCGTTGTGTAAGCTTTATTAATGAGGTGAATTAAACCCTTTTTGATTTCCCTTATTGAATCCAACCAACAACAAATGAGTGGTAGGCAAAGATAAGCAAGATGTCCCCTTATAAAAGAAGTGCTTCATTCATCACAACAAGAAACATCCAAGCTCTTAACACCTCATTTTATTGTCCCAACATTCAAAAGTACAAATAATTCAAACACAACAGTTTTATGAAAAAGAAAAAACAAACATTTACAGCAAGATTTTTATTTTGTTTCCAGTTTCAGAAATGACCTAAACTAGCAAGGATAACATGAAGTCATTCATCGCAGTAATTGGATTAATAATAAGAATAAGAATACTAAGAATAATAGCAATAATAATCATAATAATCATCATTGATAATTGTTAAGTAATAACATAAGCAGGAGAGAGTAGAGAGAGCCGCGGTCATGGGGCCCTGTGAACATTTTTTCGTCTTTTTTGTCTTTAAAGATTTCGTTTATAGATTTTTCAGATAGTAAACAAACACGTCTCAGGAGGAAAAAAATGAAAACTGACAAGAAGAGCCTAGTTCCTCTGTTCACCTTCCCTCCTCCACTACTGGCTGCGTTGTTCCTACTGGCAGGCTGCCACTATAAGGCGCTACAGGGGATGGTGTGAGCCATAGGGGTGGGCATAGAGCGAGGTGACGCAGCCCCATGTTTCAGCACGCACACACACACATACACGCACGCACACACACACGCACGCACACACACACACACGCAAGCACACGCACACACACATCTCCAGCATCCGCGCACACGTTCACTCAGGGATTCACACATAAACTAAGTATACATGTGCACAAAACAGACCCAAATCGCACACACGATCACAAACACGTAACCACGCTAACAAACATAATGAGGACACGGCACACAACTACATAAAAGGAACATGCATACAAACATGCACACATGCGCACACACTCACACATGTGCACACAGGGTCTAGGCGGAAACACAGGCACGCATCGTAAGAGTTCAAAAGTCATACAAGTGTAGGAAATTAGTTCACACGTCAGAACAACATTCTACTGGGGTCGTTGCATAATTCAAGCTCCCGACGGCGGCGGGGAGCGTGAAGGGTCTGGTTGGTCTGTTGGTGGGTGGGTGGGTTTGTTGCCGTTGATGACGTTAGAAAACTATGTGATTGGATGACGACGGGATGGCGATGAGGATATAGATGAGCCGGCCTGTCAGATGACTGAGGTGTGAGAGAGGAGGATGTCCCTATGCGAGCATGCGTCTGAGTGTTTGAAATGCTCTCCGCACACCTCCTTCATGTTTTCAAGTCTTAACAACAAACAAAATAATCCAATTCCGCATATTTATACCTCTGGAACCATTCCCTTTCACCTTTCAAAATATATAATATATATCATATTAGAGTATATAAAATATAGAATCGGTACAATCCCTTTTTCATTTCTCCAGAGTATAGCAACAACTGCTGCAAATCACAGTTGGTGTGCAATGGTAACAATTTCTCTTTTTTTTTTTTTTTTAGATTTGTTGGTATGTCATTTGAAAACATGATTTTTAAAAATAAGTTTTGACTCTTAAGTGATTCTGACCGATTTTTAGTCCAGTGCAATGAATGACCCTCAAACAACAATGGGCATTAGCTCCCGTTTTTTTTTAAATGTTATGTGCCCAAGCCTCCAAGAGCTGGATGTTATATAAAATGTTTCACTGAAAACTGAAAACTATGCTTTCAGACCCACATTTTTGCATAAGGTTTCATCACAAAGCGGTAGTAAGTGGAGGGAGGGTGTGGACGGAGTGGCTTTTTAGAACAACACAAACTTATCACAGGTTATATTGAACCAGAACGACTGTTTATAACATTCTATTAAGACTAAACTTTATTGAAAAAGATCTAAAGATTTCATTTTAACAAGACAAGAAAAAAGCAATAGCAAATGTATCTATTAACTAGGTTATGCATAGCGAGTAACTGTTTCTAGTAATAAGGGAAGAGCGTCCCCCAACCCTCCAGACATTTTTTTCAGTTTTCTTGACTTTTAGATTTTTTATATTGTAATTTTGATATATTGGTACAAAGCACGAACGTACTAAAAGTTCTCTCAGTGCAGTGGACTACTGGACGAGCCGCTCCACTAGTCGCTTTGTTCCCTTTTGCTCAGAAACGCCCCCTCCCTGTACCAGAATCACGCAAATACACAGACAATGAAACAAATAAATACATAAATACACAGATAAATAAACCAATTAATAAATATTGAATAAATACAAATAAATAGAAAAAATAAATAGTCTTAAAAAATAGATAAGTAAGTAAACAAATACAGTTATATTCTAAGCTTTTGTTCGGTTTCTTTTGCCGCGGTTAGCTAACTGAAAGTTAATCCAAATCTTTTTTTTTTCTCCACAAGCAACATGACAACAATTGAACAGTTTCCTCACAAGTTTTTCTAAGTAACTGAACCACCACTTCATAATAAGTTGTCATATGAAAAAGACAAGCTCAAACAAAAGAACAGTGACAACTCATATAGTACAGTAGATATTGTAAAACAAATGTAGACTATATATGTATATATATATATCATCTATTTGTACACAGCAAATAAAGACACAGTTGTCATAGAGATCCTTTTTAAGGAAACAAATATCTAGACTAACGGAACTAGCTAATCATCATTTAGTTTTGACAAACGTTTCACGCTCAGCAAGTAACCTAAAAAGTCAGCAAGCCAAACAAAAAAGATACCAACTCAAAGTTCAGTGATTCTTACAAGGCCCAACAAATCAATCATCTGGTTATTCAGCAAAGAAATCGTCTCACCAGATTCTTTTGGGCTTAACAATAAACAAATATTAAACAAAGAACAGCAGCTCAATTCAATGCCAACATCGAAGTATTTTTTTATCTTTAAACAACACATAGAACAACAAACTTGGATATTTAAGATATGTGAATAATGTAGTATAGCACCTACTGTTGATCGCTAAAAGGAAGTTCTTTTCAAATTCACAAACGCAGAGCGAAGAAAAATGATATAGGTAATGTTTAGTATGCTCTCTAAATGGATAGATGTGTATATATCTATTTACTGATATCCCATATTGACTCGATGGCGAAAACAAGTGGACAAAGGGTCTTCTTGCTTTGGGCTCTGGACTATAAGGATGGTTCGGCCTCGGAAAGACCCCACTCCCTTCCCTTTTGGGTATCGCTGTTGAATAATTACGCACTTGTACATATGTGAAAAATTACCAAAATCACCTGCCTCGGTTTGCATCCCTTCCATCTACAAAATCACCTCCAACTTGGATTCCCCAAAAAACAAGCAGACCTTCGATCCTATAAAGTACCACGGCAGAACGACAAGACAAGGTGGTGTCCCCCCCCTCCCGCCCCGGCCCCCCCTAGTTAGCCAGTCAAAATATTTTTCTCTTTTTTCAAATCCAGATTCTTGTAAAAATTCTTCAATAATTATTCTTTTAATTATCATTTATAAAAATAGATCTTCTTTCTCTTCATTTTTATCTTTTTCTAAATGCATTTTTTTCAAGCAAAGAGATCTTCTCTTTGGCAACAGTGTTATTTTTTTTCTCTTAAATTACGTGTCATCAGGAAAGCTAACCCATCCCCTCCCTCGCCCCATCTCCCTGAACCCCAGTGAGGAAAGACATTATGTTTTGTTTGCGATACAAAACAAAAACAATGTTAGAAATTCTTTTTTTTTTCTACATCAGAGTTACCGGGACTGTGGAATCCCATTTAATAATCGATAAGGGGACGTTTTTGATACACACTAAAAATGAATGAATGGTTCACCAATTTAAAAAAGAGCCTCCTCCCTTTCACCGACAGGGAGGTATATAATACTAACGACAGTGGATCCGGATTTACAAAAGAAAAACAAATCCTGAATCAAGACAGAGAAAAGGTTTTCAATCTAAAAAGGACATTCTCTTCTCTGAAATTAGGGGATACAGGGATTTGCTACTGTTTACACAGAAGAGAGAAAACTCATTGAAACAACCACAACGAACAGAAAGAATATACAACAAAGGGAAGCCTGCATTATCACAGGAGCCTCCTAAAAACGTATGAACATTTTCATTATTTCATTTTTGTAATACTTAGGCAACATTGGCTTATAGGTCCAAAGTTATAATATAAGCCATTTCTAGTTCAATTTATTTGATGGTTTGTTGGTTGCTTTGTGTTCCGGTTGGAGTTTGAGTTTGCTGTGTTGGATGGCTGTAGTAGAGGGTGGTAGTGACTGAAGGGGCTAAGGGACGGGGGGAGGGGGACGGGGAGGTTGGGGGCAATTTGGGAGCAGACAAAGTCGCAGGGCAACTGCTTCTACCTGTTAAAGTTCAGGACTTGTGTGTCTTGTTGGTCTTGAAGGAGACTTGCAAGACGCGGTCGCCCAACCTGTAGCCGTTGAGACTGGCGATGGCCATGGCCGCCTCGTCGTAATTCGTCATGGTGACGAAGCCGAAGCCTTTGCACTTGTTGGTGTTGAAGTCGCGGATCACCTTCACGTTGTTGACGGCTCCGAAGGGCCCGAACAGCTGCCAGAGCACGCTCTCATCCGAGTCCGGGGACAGGTTGTACACGAAGATGCACCACCCGGTGCCCGTGTGCCCGGGGATGTTCATGCCCACCAGGCTGGTCATGCTGTCAATGGTGATGGGGGAGAACCTGAGAGGAGAGGGAGAGCAGAAGAAGGGGGGAGAGACAAGAGGGAGTGTTAATGGAGAGTCGAGGTGGACGGGTGAACTTAATGTCTGCATGTACTGTTCATGAAATGGCCATACACCGGTGAAAAACATGTCGGTCTGTCTTTTGAGGGACTCATTCTTAAACATAATCCTCCTTAAAAATCTAAAAGCTTGCCATGACGCTCGCCAGCTACTTTCTACAGCCTTAAGGAATAACAAGCGTCCCTAGTTTTCTGATCAAACTCCAAAAACTGATCTCCAAACCCCGCCTGAACTAGGGTGCATCTGCATGGGGCTTTATTGAAAGGGCATGTGTGTTCATGCAGAGGTTAGTGAATGTGTGTCTCCATAGCTACTGCTAAATGAGCTCCTCAATTCTGAGAGGCCTCCTGTCAGGAGTGACGACAGCGCTGCGTGCCGAGCTGTTTTCCCGCTGAAGGAGACGCAGGCGAAGGTTCGGTCTTTGTGTCCTTGAGTGGCTCTTTTAGGAGCTAAATTGCAGGAAGTTGTTGAATTGAAGCGATGCTAGGAATCCATCAAAGATCACGCCATCACAGCTAAATCTGTTCTCATTCGCCTCTTAATCTTCCCCCTTTTTCTTGTGATGCAAGAGATTTGAATCCTCAGTTGACTTCACTTAATTGCCTTTCCGCTCAAAGGAAAAGGAGGAACAAAAAAAAAAACCCCACTTTTAAATAAAAGGTAAATGAGATAAAAAGCTTCATTTCTTATTCCACCTCTCTTCAAGAAACGACTATAGGCATTATTGGGCGTGCTTTAATTGAGATTTCCGCTTTGCTGCAGCTGTCTCAGAGAAAAGGGAGGGAGGGAAGAGGGGGCAAACTAAATGGAAAATGGAAGCACTTTGCAGCCTAGTGGCATTAAGGTACAAAGTGTATTCCTGCCACAGTCTGCAGGGTGTTCTGTTCTCCTCGTGAGCCGGTAGCTCTGATCGATAGCCCCCCTCTCTCTCCAGTGACTATATATGGCCGGCAATCGCTGCGACCTTCCTGCTTGACTTTGGTCTCGCAGAGTTTGCTTCTGGCCAGTGCTGTAGCCGTGCACGTAATACAAGCACCTAGGGTTACTGTAAAAGCTCTGATTGGACGTTCCTTTAGTGTGTCAAGTAAGTGAACAGATTATGGCACTATATCTTTCTGTATGATAAAGACAGAAGGGATGTTTTTATATTCACCCTGCAGAAAAACAGTGTTATAAAAGATTCCATTGCCTCACACGTATCTCTCCATGGCCGAGTGTGAAGCAAGAAGAATCTAAACTGGCTTCATGGCGTCGAGGAATCGTCTGATATGCTCGGCTGGGTTCAGGCCTCTCCTGCTGGGCGCGGAAAAAACTCCCGGGTGATTTATATGCAAAAGCCGGAGTACTGTATGTGAGGAGGATTGTGAGAGTGTGACGGCTTGGAGGCTGGCTAACACTCTCCACTGTGAGGACGTGGAGTTGTGTGTCTGTGTGTGCAAACGTGCATGCGAGCGTACCCATCAGAGCGGGACCAAACACTAACCAATGTTACAGACGAGACCAGGGGTTGCATAGCAACAGTGTAGCTGACCAGATATCTATTCTGTCCTTTTTAAAGCGAACCATCTCCAGCTCTTAACACCTTTCTTCTCTTTCCTTTCAAATAATAACCTCAGATCACCGGAAAGCACTTCTAACTTGCTGGCATGCTTTGCAATCAGGACGGCTGAATCGCACACTATTTTCATCTTAAGAAAATTATGTTACGACTTAAAGTGCTTATCGGGCATGGGAGGCAGTGAGGGTTGAACACAATTATAGCTTTTCCTGGAACTCGCTAAGAGAACATTTCTCTGGAGCTAAAGCTTCCTCCCTGTTTGAGTTGCTAAGCTGACTTCAGATGGTGTCCCCTGTGCTTGCAACATGCAAGATGCCACTGTCAGCGCATGAAACATCCATCACCACAGTGGCTGCTGCTCGGGGTTATGTAAGACCTAAGGTAGCGAGAAAGCAAAATGAAACATGGAGGCGAAAGGAAGGAATTTGAGCAGAGCAGTGCCGAGCAAAGCTGGAGCTGTCTGCAGTGAAACAGCATTCCCTGTTTCCAGCAGGGATCCAGGTTCATCCCGCCTCATCCTGCGTCTACTTATCTCAGCCAAAGATATAATGCAATTTATAGTTTTGTCATTGCTTCCACTGAACCTATGTATCCATCCAATAAAGGATTGGATACATAGTTAAAAGTGGATGTACAAAGATTTTATTCTCATGATAATGTGAGGAAATAGCTGTTCAATTCAAAATGGCTTCTTTTTATGAAGGTTTGTTTCTGAGCTATAGCTGTGGGGTGACAAGGCAGGAGAACCTGAATCCGGTAGAAATAAACACACCTAGAAATTAAGAGTTTAACACCAGAGAACAAAATCCATTCAGTACACAGAAACAACCCAAAACATTCCAAACAACACCAGCACGGGTCATAATGAAAACAAAGCAAATCCATCACCACTGAAAACAAACACTAATTGTTTTCAGATTTTTTTTTAAACACCGTTAAGTGGTTGGTAGGGTTTTAAAAAACCAACTGAAGCTTACGAGGGAAAGCAAACAAATTAAAGAACCAAAAATGCAGTTGACCTTGAACTAATTGAAAACGCAAAGTGACTGCAAAAATACAAGGAAACATAAACTAACAAAAGAAGAAACAAAACAGAAAAAAAGGATATTGAAAAATCATTGAGTCAACATGGACATCTGGCATTGGGTGAAGTTTTTAATTACCTCTTTACGCCATAGGCCATATTAAGCAAATTGTCCAGCCTGTAAAGAGAAGGAGGGTTCTGGGGTTAATGGTGGGCAGATGGTCGACTCACTCAATGGAACTAATGTTAAGTCCCTGCAGGAACTCGAGGGTCCTCCTCACTCAAGAACAAACAAACTCATCTATAGTTGGCCCATTACACTGAGGAGCCCCACCAGAAAATGCTATCATCGGATAATGAAGCTACAGTACCATCAGTGTGCTGGTACTAGCTTGGCGACTGCAGTGATAGCATAGCCCTGCGCTAGCTTACGCCAGAGCAGAGAGGCACACAAAGTTACTGTTGGTGACACCGTTCTAACGTTATACAAGACGACAGCAGTGGACTGGTCACAGTTTAGTATCACATATAGATATAGATATGGTAGCCCTCATGGCGGCTGGGCGTTAGCATAGCATAGCACATGGCACTACTAGGATGCTAGGCTAGCCATGGTGCTACGCAATGGCAAATTACTTTCAGGTAACTTTGTGTAGCCACATTAATGCTATATTGGAAGATGATTTATTTTGGACTATTGTCTTTGATTCTTAACTGAATTGCGGGTTTGATGACAGGAAGTGATCCAGAGTTCTGTCAGTGTAATGGTTTGGCATTTGAATGATGGTGAGCGAGCGAAGTGATGATTAGTATGTTTTTGAATGAGGTGGAATAACAAAGAACATTAAACCAGCCATGAAATTGCGACTGTCTGTCTTTGTGATCAGGGTCAGCTGGTTAAGTGCTCACAGGTCAGATGGAAAGTGTTAGTCGAACAGGGCCCTCGGTCTAAAAGGGTTTGGGAAATGTTTTGGTTTTAGTAGCCATTGCAGTCGGGAAGGGTGCATTTAAGTGTGTGTGTGTGAGGCGGACTTCAGAAACCTGTGGGCTGTATGAAATATTGGCGCTCTTGGATGGATGCAGTCTGCTGACTCAATGACCTTCATTCCTCACTTGGGTCTGGCCTGTCTCATGTCTTATTAACTCCTCCGGCCTAATGGACAGAGGCCACGGCTTATTGAGCAACAGCTGGCCAGCGACACCTCGTTCCTCCTGAAAACACTTAAAAACTCTCTGACTTTGACTCCACTAGCCCCGCTGCTCCTCCTTGTCTCTTCCAGTCAACAAGCATTAGCTTCTACACGGCCTTAACGGCTTATCTTTAAATGTTTTATCAGACTTAATCTTCTACAATGAGAAGCTGGCATTCTCACATGATGAATAAACAACTTCATTATTATTTGATTTTAATTAGGTGGGCAATTAGGTTGTGAAGGATTTTATTTAATAACTTGTTCAAGAATAATCGCAATACTATTAACAATGATTATTTAAAATCGAATTGCATGTTAGAGATAATAGATCTTTTAATCAGGGACAATAAAACAACGGGGTGCCAGGTAATTGTGGTTAAGTACCTTATAAATAAGAAATCTTAGACATTAATAACATGCTTTAAATATTATTTACAAGCTGCAAGTATTGATTTGTATTTATTTAACATGTATTGTATACCTGTGGTGTTTTTAAAAAAAATTTTTTTTATCTTTGCTTTGTATTGCCTGTTGTGAAATGGCATTATATAATATATTTATTCCTAAAAAGTATTTTAATTTGTTTTGTAAAGCACTTTGAATTGTACAGAAAAGTGCTGTATAAATAAACTTGCCTTGCCT